ACAGTTCAGCCCATTTGCTTTTCCCAGCGTGCCTGATTTTGTTCATCTCAGTAGAGTATCACGTGCAGTTGCTGTCATTAGGCTGCATTAAATACACATTTCTATCAAAATGATTGGTGTTAAAACATTAAGGGGTAAACATAAAGGTTGCTGATCATCTCTGTGATGTTGTGAATCACATCTATTGTACTTATGTCTCCTTTAAACACTCTGCTCTTGGCCAGACGTGGTGGCTCATGCCTATAATCTCAAATGCTTTGCGAGGCCAAGGTGGGAGGATTACTTGAGACCAGAAGTTCAAGGCTGCGGTGAGCTGAGATGGCGCCACTTGCACTCCAGCCTGCGCTACAGAGTGAGATCCAGTCTCAAAACAAACAAAAAAACACTCAGTAAAGGGCTCCAGGGTGTGAGAGAGGCAGCTTTCCTCCTGCTCCCTGGCCCTGTAATGCCCTTCTTATCTCATTCCTCTAGATAAGTTTCCGGAATTCAACTTAGGTGTGACAATCTCCAAAACTTTCTCCCTGTTCCCTTAAGCCTGGACTAGGTACCCTCCCATCTGCCTCCAGCCCCAGACGCAGACCTCCCTTACAGGACCTCTCTTAATATATTTAGTTATCTGGTTGTTTGTCTGCTTCTCCAACAGACTGTGAGTACCTTGAAAGAAATAACTGTGTTGCTCATATATATTATTTACAAGGTGTGGAATAAATACATGTGGAATAAATAATTTTGTGAATGAATGATGGGACTATAATTTTTTTCCTCTGACAATAAAGAAATTGTTAAAATGAGATGCAGAAGGCAGTGTGGAAAACAGTTTGGCAGTTTCTTAAAAAAAAGTAAGCATTTAATTACCATACAGCTGAGCAATTCTGCTCCTAGGTATCTACCCAAGAGAAATGGATGCAAATGCCCATGCAAAGGTTTACATGCAAAGCGTTATAGCAGCATTATTCATAATAACCCAGAACTGGAAACCACCTAAATGTCCATCAACTACTAAATAGAGTATGGCACAGCCATACGATGAAATGCTATTTAATAATGAAAAGCAGCAAACCACTGACACATGCTGAAACGTGGATGAACCTTGAAAACATTCTGCTAAGTGAAAGGGAAACACAAGAGATCACATGTGACTGTGTGATTCCATTTCTATGAAATATCCAGAAAGGGCAATTCTATAGAGACAGAAAGCAGGACAGTGGTTGCCTGAGGTTAGGGTGGAAATTAATTGTAAATGGGCATAAGGGACCTTATTGGTACAATAAAAGTTATTTAAAACTGATTTATTATGATAGTTGCATCACTTGGTAAATCTACCAAAAATGAACTGCAAATTTGAATAGAGTGAACTTTATGATACATAAAATGTACCTTGATAAAGCTGTTTTTAAAAAGATGAGGTGCAGAAAAAGTTTGGAGAATAATATGCAAATTAAATCTCTCCCAGTTGGCTATCAGTGATACTTGGAAGCAGGGGAAATATGAAGCTTCTGACAATCCCACTGACAATTCAGCATGATTTGTTCAAACATAGATACAAAATTAGGTTTATATTTCCAATACCACATGGTTTAAGCTTAACTATGGTTTCAAGCTTGGACTATAGGAATTTTAGAGACATAAATATTTTATGCAGTATTCACCATACTTCAGACATTTTTAAATATTAACTAAAACAGAACATTAGATTTTAGTATTTAGCAGAGCACAGAGGCTTTTTAGGACAGTGAAAATACACTGTATTTTTATAAAGGTGGATATATGTCATTACACATTTGTCCAAACACATAGAATGTACAACACCAAGAGTGAACCCATATGAACTATGGAGTCTGGGTGACAACAATATGCCAATGTCAGTTCATCAATTATAAGCGGGGATATTGGTAATGGGGAAGCTGCACATGGGTATGGGCAGTGAGCACATGGGAAATCTCTGTACTTCCTCTAAAACTGCTCTAAAAAATAAAGTCATTTAGAAGTTAACTAAAATAGGACATCAGATCTTAGAATTTAAATGCAAAAATAAGTGTTCATTGCCATGATAACAGTTGGCCTTTTCATACCACAAGTGTTTTGGAAAATATACAAAATTACTTAATAGGTACCTACACATGTCAGGAAGACAGAAAGGCTGACTAGGAGGAACGAGAGTGATGTGTATTCCCGAGTCTAAGTAGGTCGAAGAAGACCAAGCCAGAAACAGATGAATGGTAATATAGGAAACTGTCATGTAGTTCCTGGTTAAAAAATGAAAAGCAATATTACCTCTCTATTTTCAGTGGAACCATAGTTCCTTGATTCTAAAAACCTGATTACTTTACACTTCAATAATTCTGAAATCAAAAGGCACCTTAGAATCCATGTATATTTTCATTGCAACATTTTCTCCCCTAAAACCTGTTATTAAATAAATTATAGGTCTTAAATAGAATCTTGAATTCAAGAAAAAGAATAGCTAAAAATGATAAAGGTTTCTTTGTAATATACTTTTGTGTTTTTAAGTGAATATAGAATTGAAATTCTTGAAATTACCTTAAGCAAATTTAACAAGGTTACCCAATGACTATCTGAATCAGGAGAAGCTGCAAAGTCTCCATTTCTCCATATCAATCTATTGTTTTCTCAGTTATTCCCCCAAACCCCCAGGGAATCGGAAACAGATGAGGTCTAAACTCTGAGCTGAGCTGCCCATTCTCATGCCACCTTAGAACGGTTGTCACTAGATTCTCACACTACACACAGACTCACAACCACTAGAGAAATGTGAATTATATTCTTTAAAATAGAAAGTAAAAGTACATGGAGATTGAAGAAAAGGTAAGATAAAATTAACTGTAAAAGTTCCAGTTCTATGGAGAAACAGTCATTCTCATACCTTGCTGATAGTAACACAAAATGGAACCCGACAGGAGGAAGGTAGATAGTAATCAGCAAAATACACTTGCCCATTGACCCAGAAATTCCTCTTCTGGGATCTGTCCTAAATATACCTTGGAGAATATGTGGAATGATATATGCATTGCAGCATTGTTTGTATTTACAAAGGACCGTAAAGAATGCAAATGTCTATCATCAGAGGACAGTTGAATACACTGTAGTATCCACACCCGGTGAATAACTATGAAAAACGCTATACAGCATGTAGAGCAAGGTCCAGGACATAGTGCAACAAAAGGCAAGGTGCAGTACTATATATGGAATACGCTAATTTTGTGTAAGAAAGGAGGATGGAATTTGATTCACTATACATACTTGCTGTATTTGCAAAAAGAAGCATGGAAAAATAAACCAAAAACAAACGGAAAAGGGGGAAGAACAAGGATAGAGAACAGAGATGCAAGGGGGATTGACTTGGTTGTTACTTGTTACAGTTTTGACTTTGGAATTGGGTACATGATTGATTTTTTAAGTCAAAACAAACACAAAAAGAAAAGCAATTCTCAAAATCAAAAACGAATAGAAATGGCCAACGCAGTGGCTCACGCCTGTCCCAGCACTTTGGGAGGCCGAGGTGGGAGGATCACGAGGTCAGGAGACCATCCTGGCCAACATGGTGCAGCCCCTGTCTCTACTAAAAATCCAAAAATTAGCTGGGTGTGGTGGTGCATGCCTGTAATCCCTACTCCTCTGGAAGCCAAGGTATGAGAATCACTTGAACCCAGAAGGTGTAGGTTGAACCGAGATTGCACCACTGCACTCCAACCTGGCAACAGAGGGAGACTCTGTCTCAAAAAAAATAAAAAATAAAAAAAACAAATAGAAATGAACCTAATTGAATGTAAACATGGTGACATAACCCCACACAAATAATCATTGCTCTGAAAGACTACAGAATTTTAACTATACATACTTCATGGTATACAGGCTAAGTAAGGATTCTTCGTAGTAACATGTTGTCATTTTTACCTAGTCTTGGTAGATTTTTTCCTTTCTTCCCCTCTAAAATTGCACAGAATCTAAAGTTTCCCTCCTTCTCTCCATACAATAGCATCCATGACATTGCAACTCATCTGCCCCTTCCTTTCAGAAAAGATAATGTGAAGATTAGCACAACAATGCAATCTACATTCTGCAACTATCACAGAGAGCCGCACATATTCTCATCAGGCGGTGACAAGCACTGCACCAAAAGCAAGAAGAAATGTTTGTGTTTTATTTTCTTCTAGATATCAGAAGTAGGCCTGGTAGGGAGCCTGCTTGGAATTCTTTTAAAAAATATAATAATCTTGAGTAACACAGAATAAGACCTAACGTTTACTGAGCGCTAAGTGTATGCCAGTGAGGCAGTACTATGATCACAGCCTTGAGAGTAAATGAATCCCATGCCAAGTGCCAGAGCCTAGAATGCCAAACTAGCCTGGCATTATAACATGGGAACCATCGTGTGCTATTAATAAAGAGCCAGGACTCAGACCAGGACCCAGCAACCAGTCGACTAATTCTAAAGACGAGACTGAAGAAATTCTTCAGAGCTAAAACAGGCTCAGAAACTAAAATTGGAGGAGGAAAGGATCTGCAGTCAACACATGGCACAGAAAAAACAACCCCGGATTTGGAGTCAATGCCTCAATGCAAGCCACATACTGTGACATCCCAGGCAGAGGACTTAACCTCTCTGAGTCACTGTCCTCACGGTGAATAAGCAGCTATAACCAGCTTCTCCAGACTAAATGGAAATTAACATAGATGTGTGTAATAATGTAAGATTTGTTAAAGCTGTAAAAAAATCCAAGGTTTTATTATTAGTTCTGAGGAAAGCAGGAAAAGGGATTAAAAGAAAACAAAAGAGAAGGTGTGACCCAGAAAAAAAATTAATGTAAAATAAGCTTTTTTTTTTTTTAGACGGAACCTCAGTCCAGCCTCTTGTCACCCAGCCTGGAGTGCAATGGCACTATCTCATCTCACTACAACCTCTTCCTCCTCGGTTCAAGTGATTCTCCTGCCTCAGCCTCCCAAGTAGCTGGGGTTACAGGCACATGCTACCATGCCCAGCTAATTTTTGTATTTTTAGTAGAGACAGGGTTTCGCCATATTGACCAGACGGGTCTCAAACTCTGGTCTCAAGTGATCTGCCCCCATCAGCCTTCCAAAGTGCAAAATAAGCTTTGTGACTGCGTGCATTTTAAGCTGAGCCCTCTGACTAGCTGTTTCTGTGTCTCAGCTCTCCTCTCTTTTCTTTGCATAAGATTAATGGTCAAAAAACAACATTTTAGATTATTTGGAGAACAATAATGCTAGCAAACTTGTTATAGTCTCCATACATTATTAGGGTGTATTTTTACTAAAATATTGTTGCATTTCAGTTTAGCTAACATTACCCTATGAGTAGAATTAGATTTAGATCCAGAGAGAGTTTTTTCTTACAAACACCTAGAAATAGATACTCTACATAGACATTTGGCAAAAGTTTTTGGCTAGAAGAAAAGACCCAATTTCCTACAGAAACCAGAGATTCTTGGCATTGATTATAAAAACAGATGGAAAGCATTGATTATGCTAATGATGATGGTTCTGGGGATACTGAGGCTCGAACAGGGTGAAGAGGGGAGGGCTCTGTGGTAAGATCACTTACTCCCAGTGATCCTGACTCATGCTCTGTCCTTACCATGCAGGACACAATGGCAAGACTTCCTGCCACCAGCACCTGCATCTCCTTGTGAGAAAGCTTCTCTGGCTGTCCGATTCCACTCTTCCAGCTGTGCAGAGGTGCCCAGAGATCACGGCCACTGGGATGGGCTCTCAACCAGTGGCTGATGGGACTTGGGGCAGAAATGCCACCAGCTAGGCCGGATCTATGGCTCACACCTGTAATCCCAGCACTTTGAGAGGCCAAGGCAGAAGGATCTCTTGAGGCTAGGAGTTCAAGACCAGCCTGGGCAACACAGTGAGACATCTCTCTAGAAAAACATACAAAAATTAGCAAAGCACAGCAATGTGCACCTGGAGCCTCAACTATGCAGGAAGCTGAGGAAGGAAGACTGGCTGACCCCATGAGTTTGAGGTTGTAGTGAGTTATGATCACAGCACTGCATTTGAGCCTAGATGACAGTGAGACCTCATCTCTAAAAAAAAGAAAAATATACAAATAAATAAATAACTATCCCAGTTCCTTTTTCCCTTAGTGTGAAAACTCTGGAGTACATGTTTTTTACAGACTCTCAGAGTTCCCTGGAAGAATGAAGTTTTGGTTACCTGCAGGGTTACCTACGCTGCCTACTACGGAGAACTTTTTTAACTAACTTTTCTACCCTCTCTCACTTCCCTGTTTGCTTTCCAAGTATCTCCTGGATCACTTCTCAAGTAAACTGCTTGCACCCAAATTCTCTTCTCAAGAATCTGCTTCTAGGAAACCTAAACCAAGATGCTATTCCCCTCGCAGAAAACATTCCCACCCATGAAAAGCCCAACTGCTTAGCACAACAATCCCTCCTTATTTCCTCCTAAAAGTCAACTAAGCAGCCGGGTATGGTGGCTCATGCCTGTAATCCCAGCACTTTGGGAGGCCAAGGCAGGTGGATCACCTGAGGTTGAGAGTTCAAGTCCAGACTGATCAAATTGGAGAAACCCCATGTCTATTAAAAATACAAAATAAGCTGGGCATAGTGGAGCATACCTGTAGTCCCAGCACTTTGGGAGGCCAAGGCAGGTGGATCATCTGAGGTTGAGAGTTCAAGTCCAGACTGATCAAATTGGAGAAACCCTGGCTCTAGTAAAAATACAAAGTAAGCTGGGTGTGGTGGCACATGCCTGTAATCTCAGCTACTCAGTAGGCTGAGGCAGAAGAATCACTTGAACCCAGGCGGCAGAGGTTGTGGTGAACTGAGATTGCGCCTCTGCACTCCAGCCTAGGCAACAAGAGTGAAACTCTATCTCCGAAAAAAAAAAGTCAACCAAGGATATGACTATCTCACTATGATGTTAGGTCATGTTTAGGTGGTGACCAAGTGGCTGGCATCCTGTTCTATGCTTTGTAAGTCACCTCTCCTAGCTAGCCACTCACATTCTTTCATTCTCTCCTTATGGAGAAGGAGAGAAAGGGCTCTGAAGTAAGGAGACCACTTGTAGCAAAATCCTATTTAATATGAAATTAAGTTACTAGCGAACTTTCAGGTAGTCTGACACACAAAGATAGTAATTACCTTCTGAAATGTAATTTTCAAAAATGATTAAGATGGAAACCTCAAAATTTAAAAGAGTTTTGTGTGATTGTTCTTGTGGTGTGAAATCCTTATCTTCTGCTCAGGCTCATCTCTGCCCTATTCTTTTGGAAGCCCGAAGTCCACAAATGTGCTATTGTTTTCACATAGATACGCTGGTCTTTGCAGCAGCGTAGTCAAAAAAGAAAAAAAAAAAACAATACATATGAAGGAAAGGTTTTAAATGAATTGGAAGAAATTACATAAAATCTCACCATTGTAGACTAATTTTTATCTCTTGCTGTCTAATACATCTGCCATCCATGGTTATTGCATAAATTGGGGAAGAATAGATAAAAGAGCACCATTTAAGAAAATTTATGCTGGGTGCAGTGGCTCATGCCTGTAATCCCAGCACTTTGGAAGGCTGAGATGGATGGATCAGCTGAGGTCAGGAGTTCAAGACCAGCCTGGCCACCATGGTGAAACCCCATCTCTACTAAAAATACCAAAAATTAGCCAGGTATGGTGGTGGGCACCTGTAGTCCCAGCTACTCAGGAGGCTGAGGCAGGAGAATCACTTTAACCTGGAAGGCGGATGTTGCAGTGAGCCAAGATCGCGCCACTGCACTCCAGCCTGGGTGACGGAGTGAGACTCTGTCTCAAAAACAAGAAAAAGAAAAAGAAAATTTAAAATCAGGTGCATTCTCTTTCAATATTAGAGATTTAGAAGTAACGAAGATTAGGTTAATTCTTTCAAAACCACAGTCAGTACAACACATAATCTTGGCTTCATGCAATGTAAAGTCATCAAATACTTCAGGAACTTTCAAATCTCTTCAAGCTGTTTTCATGAGTCTCATGCATACTATTAAAATACACCACCACCACCACCACTAAGAAAATCTGGTTCAAAAATGGCAAAAGACATTTCTCACCAGAACATATGGAAATGGAAAATAAGCACATGGAAAAGTTGCTCACTGCCACTAGTCATAGGAAAAGGCAAATCAAAGCCACCGTGTGTTGGTACCTCACACCCATTAGGATGGCTACTGTAAATAATTAATTAAATAAGTGCTGGTGGCGATGTAGAGAAACCAGAACCTTTGTGCACTATTGTAGGGAGTGTGAAACAGTGTAGCTGCTATGCAAAACAGCATGGTAGTTCCTCGAAAAAATTAAGATTGAACTATCATATGATCCAGCAATTCCACCTCTAGGTATAAAACCAAGAGAACTGAAAGCAGCGTTTCAAAGAGACATTTGTATCCCCATGTTCATGGCAGCATTATTCACAATAAGCTGAAAGGTAGAAGCAACCCAAATATGAATGAATAAGCATATGAATGAATGAACATACGAATGAGTAAACAAATGTGGTGCACACATCAATGGGACAGGATTCAACTTGAAAAGGAAGAAAATTCTGAGACCTGCTACCACATGGATGAACCTTGAAGATATTATGCTAAGTAAAATAGGCCAGTCACAAAAGGATAAATACTGTAGGATTCCATTTGTGAGAGGGAACTACAGTAGTTAAATTCACAGAGACAGGGAGTAGAATGGTGGTTACCAGGCACTGGGAGGAGAAGGAACGGAGAGTTATTATTTAATAGGTACAGACTCTCAGTTTTGTAAAGAGCTCCGGAGATGGTTGATGGTGATGGTTGCATAATAATAGGAACTTATTTAATGCCACTCGACTGTACCCTTTAAAATGGCTAAGATGGTTAACTAAATTAATTTTTTTTTAAATTTTAAAGCTACTGCTCTGAACTCGTTATTGTCAGTAAATAATGAAAATGCATTTGCCGTGGTAAGTTTTACAAGATTCAAGGTGTGAAATCAGTGGCTGATGTGCTGTTAATGAGCACCATCTCTTTCACAGGTTACAGACATCTATTCATGCTTCCGTTGAACAGACACAGAAGCGAGGCCCAGGGATGGTGGGTGGTTTTCTAAGGCTGCCATTCTACTCCCTGTCTCTATGAATTTGACTACTGTAGTTCTCTCTCACAAATGGAATCCTACAGTATTTATCCTTTTGTGACTGGCCTATTTTACTTAGCATAATGTCTTCAAGGTTCATCCATGTGGTAGCAGGTCTCAGAATTTTCTTCCTTTTCAAGTTGAATCCTATCCCATTGATGTGTGCACCACATTTGTTTATTCATTCAAGGAGCCTCAGCACCAGGGTAGAATCGGGGTAGAATTAAATTGGGTGCCTTCTCTTTCAAGGGAATGTAGAGGGTCTACATTCTGAGCCCAGGGATATCTTCCCCTGTAGCGTGCCCTTCTCTTGCGTCTTTTTCAACGACATTGTTTCAAACATGTTTCCCTAAATGCTGACTCCTTACAGAAATCTTAAATATTTTTTTAAACTTTCCACTGCATAGCTTCCTTTCGAAATCTTCTTGAAACGTGCTCTATGGAAGATTAAACGCAGCAGCACAGTGACAGATGAGTCTATCAGTTAAGCTTGTCTGCAGAGATGGCTGGAAGCTGACCCTTAAAAGAGCTTGCACCAGGCAGATGATAAATCTTCAAATAAAGACTTCTCAGAAAAATCCTCAAACCTAATGAAAAGTTCAGCTCATCCCATGAGCCACTTCCTATTCTGTTGCTTGGGAAATGTGCCCATACTCTCACCATTAATTCAGTGTTACCCGAACTCTTCCTCCAGGGTAGAAAACTCTGTATTGACAAGCACCCAATGTCTTCTAGTCCATTTCCCTGTCTTGTGGCTTCAAATCATCATTTACACAGAGTCAGTAGGTGTATTCTTGGACTCTCCTCCACAGGACAGGTCATAGTCACTGAGAGAAACCATTCCTGGTGTTTGCAAATTCCTAGCACAATTCTTCTGCATCTTAAAATCGCAATACTTAGGCAAACGCATTGCTTTTCTTTGTACACATTCCTTTGATTTTTTTAATATTGCTTTTAGCTGCATTCAATCTTCTGAAAGTAGCTTTGAATTATGTAGAGATAGTGTTCTTGGTCAACCATTATTTGCAAGAAAATGGATGTACAGACATTTGCATCCCTGACTTAGAGCTACAAGACCTCATAATAAAGCAGGTGTCATTTGCCCCTTATACCACATGGCCAAAATCCACCTTACTGCCCTCTTGCTTGAAGAATGATTAAATTATATGCACATATACATATCTATGTATGTCTATACACATGCGTATCTCTATACATGTTAATATTTATACCACATATATCTATATATGTATCTCTATACATGTTAATATTTATACGCATATATCTATATATGTGTTGATATTTATACTTACACATTTATGCATTATAAATATCAATTCAATACATATCAATTTATATTTAAGTTAGTGTGTGTGCACTTATGTACTATATTTCCTATTAACTATTTTAAATGATTTTAGGATAAAAGGCATTTTTTATTTTACATGCTATGCATTGACAAATGAACTATCATATATTCATGTGTAATTCTTACAGCCATTAGAAATGATGTGGATATACATGTATCAACATGGAAATCTGTTTACTTCTATGTATTGCTTAGTGAGAAAATCAAGTCACAACAACATCATACATAACATGATTTTATTTTTGGAAAACGTAGAAATGATAGTTGGAAACACATATATGAAAATGTTTATAGTCACGCCGTGGTAGTAGGAGACTGTATGATCTTAATTCATTTATTTCTGTTTGCCTCCATGTGTGTCTTCTTTTTTTTATTCCACTTACTTTGATTTTCAAATTTTTCCTATGAGCACATACTACTGTATAATCTTTTTTACATTTTTAATTTTAATTTTTAGTTGTTGTTTAAGAGATGCAGTCTCTCCATGTTGACCAAGCTGGTCTCAAACTTCTGGCCTCAAGTGATCCTCCCATCTCAGCTTCCCAAACTGCTAGGACTACTGGAGTGAGCCACCACACCAAGCCCTATCGTATCACCTTTTAAAGCATTTTTCACTTACTTTAAATTTCCAAAAAGCAAGACGTTGGCTTCTATGCTTTTCATTGTTTTATTTTAAAGAAGTTGTCGAAACACCAACAAAAGTACTATGCACTGTCCACCAGAGAAAAGAGGGAGGTTGTGTCCCCTGAGTGGGCATGTCACTGCTGTGAGCTAAGAAGACTCTCCTCTAAAATACCCCAACCACGGCATTCACTCTGGCAATGCCCACGCATATCACTGCCCTCTGAGAACAAAACAAAAGAAACCAACATTTCTTAACTCTTGCTGTTTCACTACTAATTCTGAAAAGTTTGGAAAGAATTTAAAAGAAAACAACATTGGCAACATGAGCAATTGTTCCCATGTTATATGGAGTCAGCAACAAGAAGTTATTGAGAATTGCCTGTCCCAACTACAGATAATGCGACCATGAAGCTATGATGGGGAACCATTATTTTAGAAATACATTTAAGGATCTACAAAGGAAAATAATTGTTAGAACACAATGATACATTATAGACAATAAATAAACCAAATGCCCATTTAAAAAATCATTTCTAGCCAAGCGCAGTGGCTCATGCCTGCAATCTCAGCACTTTGGGAGGCCAAGGTGGGCAGATTACACGGTCAGGAGTTCGAGACCAGCCTGGCCAATATGGTGAAACCCTGTCTGTACTAAAAATACAAAAACTAGCTGGGCATGGTGACGGGCACCTGTAGTCCAAGCTACTCGGGAGGCTGAGGCAGAAGAACTTGAACCCAGGAGGCAGAGCTTGCAGTGAGCCGAGATCACACTACTGCACTCCAGCCTGGGAAACTCCATCTCAAAAAATAATAATAATAATTTCCACGCATGTGAAATTAGAATGTCAGAAGTAACAGAATTCAAGAAAGACCTCAATCATTCTCACGTTTAGGTTCTCAAATGTTAACTAAGCAAGCATTTTTACCCATTTGATCCGTGAGTCATTGTCTTGAGGTAAACCTGCTGAAATGTCATGTTTTGCCCTGTCTAGACATGTCAACATTCCACCTACTCATTCTCCTGGCTAATACAAATTCTATGAACATATGTTAGCCAAAAGTTCATCAATTTCACATAATTACTTTGAATTGTCTTCACTATAGAATTTTTTTTTGAGACGCAGTCTCGCTCTGTAACCCAGGCTGGAGTGTAGTAGAGTGATGTCAGCTCACCTCTGCCTCCCAGGTTCAAGCGATTATCTTGCCTCAGTCTCCCA